GGTCTTGCATTGTTCTTGTTGGACGCACATTAGAAAAATTTACTAAAAAATCATTTTATAGTTTTTTGGAAAACAAATTGGTGGGTTTGTTACGAGACTAGGACCCCTACCACCATGCAATAGATCCATCCATGCATATAATATATATATATATATATATATATAAACTTATATAAATATATAAGTATATACATATAATATACTTATATAAACTTATAATATACATATATATATATATATATATATCCATCCATCCATTGTTCTTGTTGGGCGCACAATAGAAAATTTTACCAAACAAATCATTTTATAGTTTTTTGGAAAACAAATTGGTGGGTTTGTTACGAGACTAGGATCCCTACTACCATGCAATAGATCCGTCCATGCATAATATATATATATATATATATGTATATATATATATGTATATATATATATATATATATATATATAAACTTATATAAATGATAGGACGGTACCCATACGTCTTTAAATATAATTTCAATGTTCTAGATCTCCATGATAACAAAAGGTAGGACCGTCACAATCAATTATTATCTAAAGGGGGTTATTGCTAGGCATGGCAACAGGGTAGAGATGGGGTTGTTTTGTAATCCCGACTTTGTCTCCGGTTTGTAGTAACATCCCCTAACCCGGTCCTCAATGGGTATGTGGATTAACATTCCGTCCTCGGTCAAACCTCTATCAATCCTTGGTCAATTCCCGGTCAAACCCCAAGAAAAATATATGTTAGTTAGATTCTACTGGGGATCCCTGGCCTCGACCCTGACCCCGTTTTGAGTCTACCGAATATCCCTGGTCCTGGGATCCGTTTTAACGGAGAATCCCCATTCCATTTTAGATCGGATGAACCGGGTTTCCCACCAGGTCGAAACAAATCACCATCCCTAGTTATTGCCACCTCCTTTCAATTTTTTGTCGGTTTTCATACCCTTCGATCATCATCTTTTTCTCACATAAGAATTCTTTAATATATTTTTTAACTTTAAAATTACACTTTATGTACTCATAGTTATTCAATTAA